CACAAATTAAAAAATTAAAATGGATAAATTTGTCAATAAAATTAAAAAATTCTAATCCACTAGCGGTTTGGTACAAAAAACTACATAAACTAGCTTTTTCAATCCGCTAGCGATTTGGACCCTAACCGCTATCCGTTAGTTTCAAACCGTTAAATAAAAATTTTACTAAACACTTTAATTGTAGCGGTTTCGAAATATATAAATTTAATAAACACCTATATTTAGCGGTTTAGGTAAAACCGCTAACCGCTACCTCAAAACCACTATACCAAACGGGACCTAAAACCAGTTATTCAAATAAAAAAACATAACTCTCTTTTTTTTCTTTTTTTTCTTCTGTCTAACTTCTTCAATCCAAAATAAAGCTTAAGGATAAGGCTTAACGATAACTATTACGAGGCCGACGGTCTTCAGGGCCGATTGAGGCCAAGTGGTAACGTGGGAGGTTTCTTTGCCTTTTTGGTTAAACTAAGAATTGGTCCCTTAATTTAGGCAATTTAAACTTATTTTTACCTCAATTTCTTTGAACTATTTTTTTTGTTTTCATACTTTATTTAAAATTTGTTTTAAGCATGTTAGGGCTTAGATTATTTTAAATTTTAATATTTAAGATGTTAGTATTTAGATTTTTTAAAATTTATTAGTGTTTAAGTTGTTAAAATTTTAATTTTTTAAAGTTTAAAATTTAAAGATCCTTATTAGAGTTTAGATTTTTAAAGTTAAAATTTATATTATTAAGTTTTAAGGTTTAATAAAAACTTAAAATTATTATATTTAAAAAAAAAATAGTTATAGGGACCAATTGGCTAGGGGACAAATTAGTCCCTAGCCGATTGGTCCCCATGGGCCATGGCAGTCCTCCTCTTAATTACCTTGTTTGCTGTCTAATGTACCAACCTAACAATTAAGGACAATATGCATCTTAGTTTTGAAGTGTTAATTTGTAGCTTCTGTTGTTAATTTTTCAATTTTTTAATATTTTAAAAATATATTTAATATTTATTTTGATTAATATTTTATATATTTTAAAAATAATAAAAATATAAAAACTAAAAACTAAAATACCGATAAGTATTCTCAAACAAAATCAAAGTCATATTCAATCCGAGCTCATTAAGTATTTAAATAAGAGTACCAAATAAAGAATACATACCTCAAAATAGCCTTTTAAAATATATATATATATATATATATATGAAGATAATATTGATTTAGAGACAATTGCTCCTTCCATTCAATTTTTACAATAATTTGGGGCATTAAAATTTAGTGTCTACTTTTTCCTTATTAGGATGTTATTTAATACTCTTACTTATATTTTACCCTTATTTTAAAATGATAATTACAACATACATTAAATAAAAAGAGTTATTTAATAAGTGATTATTATAGATAAATATAAATTTTTTTATATCTTTATTTTATTAAAAAAAAAAAAAAAACCAAGCCGACTAGAATTGAATGGAGGGATTATTAAATAAGGAAAAATTATTTGTTTGTTTTAAAAATTGAGAAAGCAACAACGAATTCGAAATAAATTTTTAGAAAAAAATAGTTATTTTGCACAGTTGTCGTGACAAAAATAGATTAAGATTTATTATGTCCACAAAAAAAGTGAAGTTCTAGTTATGAAAGTAATAAGACATTTTTTATAAATACCAATAAGAGGTTAGATGAGTCGCCATTCATTAATTTAAAAAACTTGATTTTGGATTAAAATTAAATATTCAAATCATTGTGATGCGAAATTACTAAAGCTTCAATATAGATAAAAAAATACACTTTTAATAAATAAGATTATTTAAATA